CGCAGACACCCCCACCTCATGCAGGAGGAGACCATGGGAGTCCCACAGCAGCTCTCCCCTGGCCTGGTTTTCCTGCCCCTGCCCACTACCAGCTGCTTTATTGCTCTGGAAGCAAAATCAGCAGAGTGGAACGAGGTCTCCTGTCACTACAGGCAAAGGGGCATGGATTCCTGGGGTCCAGTCCATCTATCCCCAAAGGATCTTTCAGGCTCCTGGGCAACCACAGATCCTCAGGACAACGACCAGAGAGCTGCGATCTTTGTGGTAGGATGAGACAAAAGCAGATGACTGCCTGGCCAGGGCCTCTTGGCCATGGCCCAACTGTTTCCAGCCAGAGCAGGGAGGGGTTGAGTGCAGAGGGTTCTGCATAGAGGAAAGGAGGAGTGGGAAGCAGTTTGAACCCTGTGGGAGAGATCCCCATCACCCAACCCACCCCCTCTGGTTCCCACACATAACCCATGTCACGCCACCCCTCATCCTTGCCTAGGCCACGCAGGCTAAGCTGCTGGCCTGGCCTTGCCCCAGACTCTCTCCATACCCAGCAGCTGTGGCCAGTTGCTCTGTGCCCAGAATGTCTGGCCAACCCTTTCCAGACCCGCTCCTGGATCTTGTGTGCTCTGGAATGCAGCTGCCCTGCCTGGAGCTCACAGCCCATCTTGAGCTTGCACATTGTGGCCAAGGGGGCACAGGAGGTAAAACACAGACTCCACCTACTGCCTCTCCTCTGCATTCTCTCCCCTCCAGCCCACCAAGAACACTTGGCCAGGAAAACCCCTTCCGGCACACCTGTGAGCTCAACTCAGAAACCCTGTTCTGTCAGTCATGCAGCCAGTCACCCAGGAGCGCCTGTGAACACAAGAGCCTGACCACGCAGCCATCTTGACATCAGAAGCGTGCCACCTTCCCGAAAGCAGCTTTGTTTTCTCGGCCAGCGACTCCATCTCTTGCCAAGGTAAAGGTTCAGCTCTGTGGCAAATCATACTAATGCAGATTTCATCTCTCCTTTTTAAAAAATTTACCTGTTTATTTGAGTCTTTATTTATTTATTTCTTTTTATTGCAAAGTCAGATATACAGAGAGGAGCAGAGATAGAGAGGAAGATCTTCCATCCGATGATTCACTCCCCAAGTGACCACAATGGCCGGTGCTGTGACGATCCGAAGTCAGAAGCCAGGAACTTCCTCCAGGTCTCCCACGCAGGGGCAGGGTCCCAAAACCGTCCTCGACCGCTTTCCCAGGCCATAAGCAGGGAGCTGGATGGGAAGTGGAGCTGCCAGGATTAGAACCAGCACCCATGTAGAATCCTGATACTTTCAAGGCAACGACTTTAGGCACTAGGCCATTGCGTCAGGCCCCTGCTTGTTTATTTGAAAGGTAGAGTTTAGAGAGAGAAAGAACTACCATCTGTTGGTTCACTGCCTCTGCAGATGGTATCAACAGCCAGGGCGAGGCTGAGCCAAAGCCAGGAGCTCATATCCTGGGATCCCACATGAGTGCAGGGGCCCAAGGACTTGAGAGCCATCCTCTGTTGATTTTCCTAGACTGTTAGCAAGGAATTGGATGGGAAGTAGGGCAGCTGAGTCTCAAACTGGTGCTCATATGGGCTATTGGCATGTTAACTCACCACATCCGGCTGTGTCCATTTGATGACTCAGTCATCAAACACTCTGTGAAGCCCCTTCCTTCCCCCAGTCACCTCTCCAGATAATACTCTTGGTGGCTCTCACCTTTCCCACAGGACCTGGCTGTCACATTCAGGCTAACCAGAGATGTGGGGTATCAAGTAGATTCAGGAAAAGACCCTTGTCCTTGCCCTTGACCCTGACCTTCTTGGCCTCTTAGAAGGCAAGCTGAGGGTGTTGTGTTGGGGGTCTGTGTAGCATCATACTATCCCATTCCTGTGTGCATGTGGAGGCTCCAATTCCAACTCTGGCCGACTGAAGATCAGGGCTTCTACTGCCCAAGGCATGGCGGCTCCAGGGGGCCTGCCCCATCTCCAGACCTGAGAGCCCCACTTTTTTTCTCAGTAAGGGAGCCTGTAATAAAGAGGTAACAGGAGCCAGTATTGGAGCACAGCAAGCTAAGTCCCTGCTTGCATAACTGGTTTGAATGCTGTGCCTGTGAGAGCAGTGGAGGATGGCTCAAGTATTTGGGCTCCCTCCATCCTGGTGGGAGACCTGGATGCAGTTCTTGGCTCCTTCTGGTTTGGACCTGCTTGCACCCCACCAAGCCGTTGTGGCCATTTAGGAAGTGAGTACATCAGTGATGGAGACTTGGTCTGGTCCACAGTGTGAAATGAAGGCCAAGGCAGCCTGGTGCTTGGAGTGCCACAGAAGTAAGGAAGTGGCATGGTTGGCAATGTTCAAAATGAACTCAGAATGACCTGACTGGCTGTGCAATTTCCAGAGCTTCTCAGACCTGGAATGGGACCTGTAGAAGGGGACCAAAATGGTGTAGGCATGAGTAGTTTGTAACTCACATCACTTCGAGACTAGTATTGGAGCGCAGTGAACAGGTGCAGCTATGACTATCTTGTGCATCCAGGTGTGGTCACAGGGGCTTTCTGTGTTCAAGCCCAACAGCCCCTAGAGCCTACAGCAGGAACTGAGACCATAGGAGCCTCAATGAACCCACAAAAAGTCTACCCCTTGAGGCTGGCCTGACTGTTCCAATTTCTATTCACCGTCTTGCTCCCATTGGGGAGGTGAAACCAGTGGATGGAAGATCTTTGTCTCTCTCTTTTTCCTGTTTAACTTGAACTTTCAAATAAACTAAATTCACACAAAACATGTATTAGGAAAAACTTGTGAAAAAATTCAGGGTTCCATCATGGTGTCTCAATAGGCTAATCCTCCACCTTGTAGTGTCAGCATCCCATATGAGTGCAGGTTCATGTTCCAGTTGTTCCAGTTCCCGTGCAGCTCCCTGCTTACAGCCTGGGAAAGCAGAGGAGGATGGCCCAAGTCCTTGGGCTACTTGCACCCATGTAAGAGACCTAGAGGAGGCTCCTGGCCCCTGGCTTTGGATCAGCTCAGCTCTGGTCATTGTGGCCTTCTGGGGAGTAAACGTGTTGAGGGAGTAAACCAGCAGATGGTAGCTCTTTCTCTTATTATTTGTTTCCCTGCCTCTGGAATGAATCCATACAAAGTTTAAAATCAACAAATAAAAGGGAGCAGAATTCTAACATGTGCTACAAATGGATGTCATTGCGCTAAGTCACAAGAGCCTATCAGAGAAGGCCACTTACCCAGTGGCTGGGACTGGGCTAGATTGGAGCTGAAGGTTGGATTGCCACTTCAGGCTTCCACACGGTTGTCAGGAACCCACCTGCTCTCCCAAGGTCTGCATTAGCAGAGAGCTGGACTCACTGTCAGAGCTGGTATCAAATCCGCGTTCTCGGATGTGTGATGCGGATATCTATCTGCTTATTAAACACTGCTTCTCCTTCCTTTTATTTTTAAATTTTATTTTGTAAGATTTATGTATTTTTATTTGAAATACAGATTTTACAGAGAGAAGGAGAGACATCAGGTCTTCCATGTGCTGGTTCACTCCCTAAAAGGCCATAGTAGCTGGAGCTGAGCTGATCCAAAGCCAAAAGTGGAGCTCCAGAATCCTGGTCTCCCACGTGGCTGCAGGATCCCAAGGACTTGGGTCATTCTCCTCTGCTTTCCCAGGTGAAAAGCAGGGAGCTGGATGGGAAGTGGAGCAGCTGGGGCAGGAACCTACGCCCATATGGGATACTGGTGCTTGTAAGCAGAGGAATAGCCTGTTAGACCACCACACTGGCCCCTCTTTTAAAGGCTGAAAACGCTCTATTGTACTCACATAGCACATTCTCTCTGTCCATTCAGCTTCGGAATGGTGCTCCCATCTCTTGGCTAGTATGAATACTATGCAAATGAGTTACAAAGCTACATTTAGAAAAAAAGAAACCCTATTTTAAAAGATGCATTTGAAAGCCAAGGGGTGGGGAGAGCTTTTACCTGCTGGTCCACTCCCTAATTGCCTGAAGCGATGAAGAGCCCAAAGCTCACTCCAGATTTCCCACACAGGTGGCAGGTACTGCAGTCCTTGAGCCATCACCTGCTGCCTCCCAGAGTGTTAGCAGGAAGGCAGAGTCATAAGCACAGTGGCCAAGATCAGAACCAGGCATTCAGCTATGGCAGGCTGCCATCCTGAACCTTAAACGCCCACCCCTACATTTAGCTTACTTAGCTCCACCCAGCACCCAGTCTTTTTAAACTCACAAGTTTGGTCAAACCATCCCTTGCTTTAAAACAAAATAAAAAGCAGGAGAAGGAAACTCTGATTTTGCAACATGATCAGGTTAAGGCCTTAAGCACCTCTTGGTTTTGTGAACACTGTTTTGTTTGCAAACACCTGCTGTTCGGGTGGTTGTTGTCCGTTGTATGGGCCATGCCTTTTCCTCCTCTCTCTGGGTTGCTGCGGCCTGTGTTTATCCCCTTGTCTCCAGGACCTCAGTTCCTGCCCTATTCCTGGGGGAGTTTCCTCCTCCGCTAGGGCAGGGTAGTTCTGGCTTCCCTCGTCCACTTTCCCCTTGTAGCCCTTGCCACAATGGGCACTATAATATCACACGGATTTGTGACAACCGCCCTGGTGTTTCGCATCAGGGAAAAAAAAAAACTGTCCAGTTCTTCCAGCGCCTGGCATCTGCTCAACGTTCATGATCGCAAGTAATTTATTTCACCAGTAAACCCATGGGCATGCAGCCCACCCCTCACCCGTAGACACAGTGTGCGTGGGAGCGGGAGCTGGGAGGAGATCAGGCTGGCCAGGGGAGCTCCGGCCGCCAGTCCTCCACCGTCTGCACCCTGGCCATCGCACAGGCAAGCCCACCGTTCCCACGGACGCGCCCCCGGCTCCATCCCCGCGAGGGGAGGGTCCACTCGCGCCTCGGGATCCGCAGCAGCCCGGGCGTCCGCCTGGGGCGGGGGCGGGGCCGGGCCGCCGCCGTCACTTCCGGTGTACACAGCCGGCCCGGGCGGTGCGCTGGGGGCCGCGGGGCGTCGCAGGTGAGGAGCGGGCGCGAGCCGGCGCGGGGCGGCGGGGGGCGGCGGGGGGCGGCGGGCGGCGGCCGAGGGGCGGCGGCCGGGGCTGGGGGACCGCGGGGCCTGCCCGCCGGGCTTGCCGCTCCGGGCCCTGGGCTCCGGGGCGCACGGGGGGCCGTGGGCTCTCCCGCCCCTTGCCCGCTGGGCTGCGGAGGACGCCGGGCTGTGCGGGCGCTGGCCGGCCGGGCTGACGGACGGACGGAAGCCCTGAGGGGTCCGCTGGTGTGCGGGCCGGGGATCCGGGTGTGTGTGTAGTAGGGAGGTGTGCGGTGGGGCCGCCGCGGCCGTCCTGCGGACGAGGGCCGGGTGGGGCGGGTCGGCACCGGGCAGGGCCGGCGGGAGGGGGGCCGCTCCCTGAAGCTTCCAGGGCCCCGGGAGGGCGGCTGGCGCCGGGACCCGCTTCCGGAAGCTCCCCCGGGGCCGTGTGCTGAGGAGCGGCGGGTGGCCGGGGTCCACCGAGGCCGGACACGGCGGGGACGCGGCCCTCGCGCCGCCCGTTGCCCGTGCTGCGGGGCCGCCGGGAGCGTGATTTCCCGGCCCCGCCGAGGCGGCTGGCGCCGGGCCGGGTTCGGGGGCAGGTCCCCCGGCGCTGGATGGAGGACCCACGCCCGCGGGCCGAGCGCAGGGGCAGGGGTGTGTCTTTCCTGCTCCGCGCCCCGAGCGAGGAGAGAAGCGTGTCTGGCTGGCATGATAAGAATTTTGTTTATACTTCTCAGACAATCTGCCAGGAAAACCTCCGCGACTCCCCCCCACCCCCGATTTGAAAATAGCTGCTTCCCGCCCCTCACCCCCATTATGATAGCAGTTCTGGCAAAAAAAAAAAAAAAAAAAAAAGCCCCGCTCAGCGCGGAAAGTGGGGGAGAAAAATGACAGTCCCGGCCTGTCCCTCAGCAGCCACCGCTGCTCACGTTCTGGTGACATCAGTCACTGTGCATACATAGTGCCATTTTTATGAACCTCGGAAGATACCTTCCTTCACCGTGATGTAACCAAGTCCTGCGGGATGAGCCTTCAGATTGTTTCCAATTTGTCACAAGATTAACAGTTCTGCCAAGATTTGTCTGATTATTGTCTCATGATAGATTTACTAATAGGGTCAAAGGTGACATTTAAAAAAAGACTAGATCCCCCCCACACACACACACTTTGGTGTACTAGTTTGAAATATTCTATTTTACAAAGATTCCATTCATGTTTGCTTTTCCTCATCTCATGGTGAATTTTATTTATTTATGTATTTATTTGCTTTTAGCTGTTTAACCCACTTAAATTTTATGTTTGGTTTAAAATTGGAAATGTTTTCCAAATGACAAATGTGTTTATTGAATGTGCTTTAACTGTAGCATTTTGATTGCATTTTATACTGACAGTTGTGAATATGCTATTTGTAAAGGACTTAATGCAAATAGAATATTTGTATTTCATGGCTTCTCTGATGTTTTCAAGTTCCTTGAAAATACCAGTGTTTCCACAATAGCCTCTGGTTCTCTTTTTCAGTTATTTTGTTTGTGTCCAAGGGATCATTTCATGCTGGAGAACAATTTTTTTCCTTTATTTTTATCTTTGAAAACTAAAGTTGAATTTACTGCTGTTTCATTGGCTTGCTTTCTGACAAGATTCTAAACTCCATATGAAGAGTTCAGGTTTGTTGTGGCAACTTTTCAGTCTGGCATTTGAGATTCTAATCTTCCTCTATTTTTGCACACGAATACGTAGGTTAGCATTGGAGACCAAGATAGAAAAGTTCTCAGATTCCCTTGGCAAGCCTAGATTTTTCAATCTAAAATTATCTCTGGATTTTTGGAAGACAGCGTGTTTTAAGCATCCCTTTTTTTCCCCCTTTTAAAATAAGTCGCACAGGATTCTGTGAGAATTTTACTCATGAGTCCATTAAAAACCTCAATCCACATATACCAGGAGCAAAACTTAAAAGATCTTCCAGGTCCTGGGAAAATCAGAGCATCTGGGAGCCAGGAGGCTGGGCCTGCCTGGTCTGCTAATGCGTTGTCGGGCTTTCTTACCAATTGGTCTTTAGTCGAAGGTGACGACCTTCCTGGGTGGACGGAGAAGGTGGTGTCAGTAAAGCACTGCTTGTTGTGGAGCTGGAAAGGAACAGCTTGATGATTTCTCAGGAGAAGCTGGCAGACAGCTGGAAGTCTCCTAGGTCCTCATGTCTACTAAAACTGTCCCCAGAGGTCCCCTAACTGATAGGTACGGCGATGACCACTGCCTGCTCATTTCCACTGACTTTGTCAGTATGACATGGTGAGCCATTCTTCCACGAATAACCTTGCTCATGGTTAGCCTTTTCTCCCTCCCTCCCTCCTTCCTTTCTTTCCTCCATTCTTCCGTCTCTCCTTCCCTCCTTCCTTTATTCATTTTTTGAAAGACTGGGAGTGAGCCACACGAACACAGACTGACACAGAGAGGAAGAGAAATAGCCACCCTCCCGTACTTCACTCCTCAGATGACTGCAGCGGCCGGAGTTGGGCCAGGTTGGAACCAGGAACTGACAATGCTTTCTGGATCTCCCACATGGCTAGTGGGGGCCAGGCACTTGGGCCACCTTCTGCTGCTTTCCCAGGTGCAGGAGCAAGGAGCTGGATAGCTGGATTGAAAGTGGAACAGCCGGGACTTGAACTGGTGCTCATGTGGGATGCAGGTGTTGCAGGTGGTAGCTTAAATCTGAGTCAGTGGAAGCCCTGGTTGTTACTACTCTTCTCTCCCGTTTTTTAAAGTTAGAGAAAATCTTTATCCGTTGGTTCACTCCCCAAATGGCTGCAGTGACAGGGGCTGGACCAAGCTGAATCCAAGAGTCAGAAGTTTGATCCCATAGGGGTGCAGGGGCCCAAGCAATTGGGTTATCTTCTGTGTTTTCCCCAGATGCATTAGAGGGTTGTGGGTTGGAAGTTGAACAGTTGAGACTCAGTGGTACTCTATGAAATGCTGTAGGTAGTGGCTCAACCTGTAAAGCCCCAATAGCAGCTTCTAGCTGTATCTGTCTATCTGTGTACAGACACAGACTGTGTGTATGTATGTATATATATATAATATATATATATATAATCATTTTTTATGAAATGAAAGCATAGAGAGATTATCTCTGTAATGTCCACAAGATTCGGGGCTGGCCAGGTCCAAATCAGGAGTCTGAAATGCCATCAGGTGCTCCCCTCCCACATGTGTGACAGGGACCAGGCTGCTTGAGCCGTCGCCTGTTGCACAGTGGTGCCTCCCAGGAGAAGCAGAGCAGGGACGGGAGCCCAGAGACTCCTTTAGGGGTTGCAGACATCTCGAGCAGTATCTTCAGATGGCTGGGCTTAAAGCCCCAGTCACTTGTTTTCTGTCCCTATATTCTGAATTAGGCTTTGGATCCTTTTTTTTATAAGAGTTTTTATTTGAAAGTTAGAGTTACAGAGAGAATGAAAGAGATCTTCCCATCTGTTGGTTCACTCCCTAAATGGCTCAAATGGCTAGTGTGGAAGACAATCCAAAGCCAGGAGCCAGGAACTTCCTCCAGGTCTCCCATGTGGATACAGGGACCCAAGGACTTTGAGGCATCCTATGGTGTTTTCCTATGCCATAATCAGGGAGCTGAATTGGAATGGAGCAGCTGGGAATTGAAGAGGCACCCATGTGGGAAGCTGGCACTGCAGGCAGAGGCTTAGTCTGGTAGAGCATGTCACCAGTTGCAACTTTGTACTTTTTTTTTTTTTAAGATTTACTTATTTTTATTGGAAATGCAGGTATACAGAAAGGAGGAGATACAGAGATGAAGATCTTCCATTCCTCAAATGGCCACAACAGCCGGATGAGCCAATCTGAAGCTAGGAGCCAGAAACCTTTTCTGGATCTTTCACGCAGGCACTGCTTTCCCAGGCCACAAGCAGGGAACTGAATGGGAAGTGGAGCAGCTAGGACTAGAACCAGTGGCGATATGGGCTCCCTGTGTGGGTACATGCAAGGCAATGACTCTAGCCACAAGGCCACTGCACCGGGCCCAAATTTTGCAATTCTTACAATAAAATCTAGTCATTTTCTTGTTAGACTATAGAGCTGAGGGGCTGTTGCTGTGTTGTCGTTGGTTAAACCATCGCCTACAGCACTGGCATCCCACTTAGGTGTTGGTTCAAGTCCCAGCTACTCCATTTTGATCTAGCTCCCTGATGACAGGAAAACTAAAGTTGGCTCCGGTGCTCGTGCCCGTGTACCCATATAGGAGACCTGGAAGAGGCTCCTGGCTTTGGCCTGGGCCTGCCCTGACTGTTGTGACCATTTGGTAAGTCAACCAGCTGATGGAAGATGTCTCCCTCTCTTTCTACCTCTCTCTCTCTGTTAACTCTGGTTTTCAAAATACAGGAATAAATCTTCAGGGGAAAAAAAAAAGAATATAGAGCTGACCAGCACAGCCTGGAGAAGAAAGTCAAATAAGGAATTGCCATAAAATATCAGTACCTGGAGGGAGAGAGACTGAATAAACTGCCAGATCTCCAAGATCTCTCCTGCCCTGTTCATTACTTTTATCTTCAGGGCCTAGAACACAATGTTCTGGAAAGGATTTAGTATTTGTTGAATGAATGACTGACCATCTGAAAGTGATACCAAAATAAATATTACACACATCAGCTGTCTATGTTAAATATATAAGCCAAGTGTAGTTTGAAGAAGTTCAGGGAAAACTTTAAATTCAACCCAACTGACCCAGCTATAACCCCAGGGAAACATGACTGGAATGTGTTTGTAGCCAGAAAGCTTAAATTTAATTTTTTGTCCTCAGTAGAAAGATTTGTGTTTCTAGAAGAGGGTTGGATGGTTGTGAAAATCAGTGTGTCATCCGAGGGAGGAGTTAGGCAGTGTGTCTGGGGCTCTGGAGGGGGCCCGGCCCAAGGAGTGAGAGGGTGTGCCCGTAAGGGTTCCCCCACCACTGAGGGTGTCTCCCTGGCTAGAGCGTGATTTCACATGGG